GAATTGTATACATATTATGTATATTTTTTAATATATAAATTAAATATATTTAATTTTATTCATAATTTTTTATAATAAAATATTTAAATTTTAATAATAAATATAAATTTTGATATAAAAAAAGTATATATATTATATTAATATATAAATAATATAAATATATTATCACTAACGAGCTCAAGTGAGCTACTCGCGAGCCGAGTCGAGCTGTTAACGGTATATTGTAAATTTGAAGGGTATTTGTAACATTAGGTAGATAGTACAATTACTAAAAAAATGAAATTGATACGATATTATAGGACAAACCAAAATGAAAAAATACCTATTCAAATTATCTCACAAACCAAATAAATTTATTAATGTTATTAACTTTCTACACAAATTTTTAACAATAAAGATATTTTTTAATAATAATATAAAAAAAAAAAAATCATCACATCCAATATCTTATTTTTGTTATGTTAAATATTTATTTTCATTCAATTTTTTTATTCTTAGTAATTTTTGGAGCTTTTTTTTTTTCATTTTGATTTCAATTTTTCTTTTATTCATTGTAAATATATATATATATATATATCTCCTCCAATTTATATAAGTTTGTTTGAACGAAAAGATTAAAAAATAATAGTATTTTAACATTGAAAGTATGATAAATAAAAAGTAAATTATAGGTAATATGAACATTTTATTTAAGACTCAGTAAAAATATAATGAAGTAAAATTATAAAAATAGTGACAAATTTATTATTATTTTATTAAAGTACAAGTAATAAAATTATGGGTTAATAAAATTATTTACTATAAATTGAATAGGCATAAATTTAATCTATAGATAATAATAATAATAATAATAATAATAATAATAATAATATAGTTTTAACGAAGGAAAAAATATTTATTTTTTCCTACAAAATACTATAATCAAACTTTATTTAAACAAAGTATTAAAATCAAACTAAAAATATCCTAGCCATAATATTTGAAGCAACAACTTTTGCCACTTTTGAGTACCATAATTTAAAAACGAAGTTAATACATTGTTCACTAACCGTTTTTTAATACACAAATGCATATATATATATATATATATACACACGATTAAGAAACAAAAAGTTATACTCATTCCGTCCCGACTACTGTGTCTATTTTACTATAGATATGAGAATTTAAGAGATGTATAATTAGTAAAAATAATTATCGTATAATAAAAGTAATTTTAGATTAAGATAACTAATTAATCTAATTAAAATTTAAAAATATATAAATTAAAAAAAAATAAGATTAAAATGTATAATTCTTTTAAAAAAAAAAAGAAAAGTAACTGAATAAGTGGGACGGACATAAATAAAAAGGTGGACACGATAAGTGGAATAGAGAGAGTATCATTCAACAACAGCTTTGTTTTATTTTGATTTGAAATTGGAAATTGAATTTAGATATTGATTTCAATAATATTATAATATGATAATTTATGAGATAAACTAATTATTTTTATTGACAATTGTACGAACAAAATAATAGTAATTAAAAACCAAACACATGCATCCAACAAATAAATAAATGAACTTTAGAACTATCATCCACCGTGTAAATTTGTTTATTGCTTAGGAATTTTTAGATTTTTTATATTTAATTATTAAAAACTATGAATGTATTATTAATATATTTATTTTTATTATTTCTTAATTATTTTATAAAAGAATAATATTATATATTTATAGGAAGGCTTGTGTTTTAGAAATTGTGAATGCATATTATCAAACAAACCCAAAGAATCTTAAATTTATATTTAGATTTTGAAATTTTTAGCATAAAATATTTTTAATTTGTCCACTAAAAGTGTGTTCGATTTTATCATTTTAGATTGTTCTACAAAAATATTTCCATACTTTATTTGGGTAAAAAGTATTGCGTTTTTCTACAAGTTTGTACATATTTTTTCCATTTATTTACACAATATTGTTGGTCCTTACTATGGGTGGATGTTCGGGTCGGAAAGTTCGTGTCTAATCTGATCCGATTGGGTTTGATTGTACCAATTGATATTTTTAAATATATATATATATATAATATATTTGGGTCCTAGGTACCCGATAAAAAAATCTGGTCGGATATCGGGTATGAATTTCATATCCAAAATCCGATCGGGTATCCAAATTTTATTCTAAGAAATATAATATTATAATATTATGTAGCATAATTTTGATTGTTGATATAATAGTAACAAATATTATATTTATTATTATAATTTTAATATACATGAATAATTAGATATGGTATTAAATAGAATTTTTTTTTATTTCTTTAATTAAAGATGATCAAGATATTTTTTTTTCAATTTTTCAAGATATATTATTATATATTTACGTACTTATTGGTATAATTTTTTAATACTTATTGGTATAATTTTTTAATTGAATAATAGTGATTGTAAATTTATAGTTGTAGAATAAAAATCATTAATATCAATATTTATTCCCTCTGTTCTATTCCAAAAGAGTAGATTTTTAATAGATTAACAAATAATAATATTTTATTAATTAGTGAAAATGTAAAAGAAAATTGATATATTTACCATTTGACTTTATGTATAAAATAATTATATATGTAATATCATATTTCTAATTTATGTAAGAGTTATGATATTTTAGTATTAATAAATGATTATTTTTATTAAAATTGAAGAGAGATACTTTTGAATGTGATTGACAAAAATAGTAAAAAAGATATTTTAAGTTGACACGGACAAAAAAATAGTAAAAATAATATTTTAAGTTAAGGACGGAGAAAATACTATTTTAGTTATTTACTAACGTTTGAGTTATTCATGACTAAATATTAAATATTAAAATTTATTTAGCACTACTAATTTTACAAATATAAAAAAATATGTATTTATACTAAAGAATATCTTTTAAACCAAACAAAATAAAAATAGAGTACCCGAATTAAAAAAATGGAGTATCAAATATCCGAAAAATTGGATACCCGATATTTTAAATATATGCAAAGATCAGGTCGGATGCAAATAGTGTAAAATACTAACTGAGATTTTTTATACCCGACCCGATCAGACCACCACCTCTAGTCCTTACATAAATTTTTACATTCAACTTGCACTCCATATATATATATATAATTTTTAAGTTTAACATTACATAATTTCAAATAAAAATTAAATATATATATATATATATTAAACTCATTGAAATGTTGACATTTTTCATTTTCGTCCGTCTCAAAACAAGGTTACAATTTCCTAATTTAGTAATTGTACTACAAATAAATACCCTTTTAACTTACACTTTATTACACAAATATTATTACTTTTATAGGGATATTTTCATCTTTTTCACTATAACTCATTATAATATTAATATTCAAAAATCTACGTGCAAAAAGTAAACGGAAACTTTGCACCGGGACGGAGGGAGTATTTTTTATGATTTCATGTTAAAAAAAGTTTAGCACCATTATTTTTTTTATTTTTTATTTTTTTTGTAGATGGGAGGAATATAAAAATTAAACATAATATTTGACTATAAAAAAATAAAATAAGATAAATAAAAATATCACTGTTAACTATGTATATATTAGGAAATTGGGGAAGAAACCGCATGTGGGCGCACCACGGGTGTGTTCTTTTGAGTTTTCTTTTCTTCTTTTTTGTTTAGGGAAAAAAAAAATGAAATAGCAGTGACATGTAATTTTTTATATATATGTAAAAAATGATACATTGTTATAAAAAAGATGAAATTATACCAAATAAAGAATATATATATATATATATAGTTTTACATCTGGTGGCAGAACATTAAAGTGTTGGTTGTATGAGCTCTGTCGCAGGAATTTGTGGCATCAATTAATTAATTAATTAATTCATACCTAGCAGCAGGTATTTCAATGTATGTATACATGTATATAAATTTGAAAAAAAAAATCCAATTACTATATACTATTGTTATTATTAAATGTAGAAGCTGAAAATGACAAATTCAAGAATTTTGCTTGTGCTGTAGTTATCAGTGCACCAAGTACTGCACTGCCTTCAATTCCATTCTTGGAACACTGTAGAATTTTTAAATATCATTATCACCATCATTTATTTATTTATTTATTTGTGTAGCATGTGTGGGTGTGCTGTGCAATAATTGTGAAGTGAGGCCTGAGATAATACTACTACTACTACTACTAGGGAAAGTGGTGAAAATTGACCATTTTATGTTTGGAGTTATGCTGTCATGGAAATTCTGTGTAAAAACCACATACTACATACTTAGTAATACTGATAATAATCATCTGCAAAACAAAGTACAAATCATTTACTGCTACTACAACATTAAACATTAAACATTAAACATTCATTTGGAAGTAGAATCCAATAATATATAATTTGCAAAAGTAGAAATCTACATTAGAGTGAATATATTCTCATTCGAATCAGTAATGAGTATTCTGTATTCTATTATCATTTCAGTATCACAGTATGTACTACTTGTCCATTAGTTTATTTTAGATACTAATTTTAATTAATCAAAGTAGCAAACAATCATAAGCTATGGAGTGGTAGTGAGATCAGATCACATCAAATAGATAAATGATAATATTTTTATAAAAATAATGGTATGGTGTCTCAAACAGAACCTTCCTTCCTTCCACTCTTTCCATTCAAACAAGCAAACTATCTATCTATCTATCTAACCTAAAACAAACCTGCTTAATACAACAAATATCATGTTATCCATTAAACATACATACATACACACTCTCCCTCATATACACATATATTATATATATATATATATATAGAGAGAGAGAGAGAGAGTGTGTGTGTGTGTGTGTATAATATGATGATTTGCAGAAAAAGGCATCCATTTCCTAATTAGAAGGGAAGGGGCACCCCCCCTCCCTCCTGTGACCACTTTCCACCCCTCCTCCCACCCTCCCCCCTATTTAAGCTCTGTATTTCTCTAATCCCCCTCCACACATTTCTTCTCATTTCTCCATTCTCTCCTCTCCTTTTCTGTCCTATTCAAACAATACATTTTCATACTCATTCCCAAATCACATTCTTGAAAACAATCCATATATCATTGAGTGAAATCATCTCAGCAGCAGCAGCAGCTCACATTCTTGATGAGTCACTGTGATCACTTTGTGCCGCCAAACATGGCTGAGCAAGACGACTTCTTCACAGGCCGATGCATTCTAGTAAACGGCCCTGTGATAGTTGGGGCAGGTCCCTCTGGTTTAGCCGTTGCTGCAGGTCTTAAGCAACAAGGAGTTCCATTTGTGATGCTGGAAAGAGCCAACTGCATTGCCTCACTGTGGCAGAACCGCACCTACGACCGCCTCAACCTTCACCTTCCCAAGCAGTTCTGCGAGCTGCCCTACATCCCTTTCCCTGAAAACTTCCCAGAGTACCCGACCAAGCACCAGTTCCTAGACTACCTCAAATCCTACGCCAAGTACTTCGAGATTGAGCCTACCTTCAATCAAGCAGTTCAGTCAGCAAAGTATGATGAAACATGTGGTTTGTGGCGTGTCAAGACAGTCTCTAGTAATGATTCAACCACAGAGTACATTTGTAGGTGGTTAGTGGTGGCCAGTGGGGAAAATGCAGAGAAAGTGGTGCCAGAGTTCGAGGGATCACAAGAGTTCAGTGGGAATGTAGTGCATGCCTGTGATTATAAAACAGGCGAGGATTTCAGGGGCAAGCGGGTATTGGTTGTTGGTTGTGGCAACTCAGGCATGGAGGTTTCACTCGATCTTTGCAACCATGATGCAGTTCCATCAATGGTTGTCCGTTCCTCAGTGAGTAAACCAGACCTTCCTTATTCCCCTACTCCAAATACTCAGAAACTATGACTTGTTTAACTAACCAGTGTTCATGGATGCACGCAGGTCCATGTATTGCCGAGGGAGATCTTAGGGAAATCAACATTTGAACTAGCAGTTTGGATGACAAAATGGTTGCCAGTTTGGGCTGTGGACAAGATGCTGGTGGCAGCAGCGAGATTGAGTCTCGGAAACATAGAAAAGTATGGCGTGAAAAGGCCATCAATGGGGCCTCTGCAGCTAAAGAACACAATAGGAAAGACCCCGGTGTTGGACATGGGCACACTGTCAAGAATCAAGTCAGGTGACATCAGAATAGTTCCAGGGATCAAGAGATTCCAAGAATCAGGAGTTGAGCTGGTGAATGGGGAACTTCTTGAAATTGATTCTGTTATCCTGGCTACAGGATATTCCAGCAATGTTCCTTCATGGTTAAAGGTGGGAGATCTTTACATATATGTATGTATATATATATATATATATATATTCAAGAAGGCTGTGGGTGTGAGGGTAAGATGGGAGGGAAGATATACACACATATATATAACACATACGCTATATAATATTGTGTATGTGAGGCTAGCATCATCTGTCTGTGGAATTATGTGACAGTTATGGAAGTTAAAGAATGCTGCTACAGATTCTCTGCTATGAATCTAGTAGTCACTAGTCAGGAATTTCTATTTCTTAAAACTACGATTTTCTACGGTGGTAAAATAAAAAGAAAAAATGTTTGCTTAGGATTTTCCTGTACACTTTTTGATTAATTTCTAACAAGAAAAATGAAGTATTTGTCAGATGAAGAACTCAAATGGGGTTTGGTTTTACAGGAAAGCAACTTCTTCTCAAGGGATGGTTTCCCAAGATCACCATTTCCAAATGGATGGAAAGGCAAAGCAGGATTGTATGCAGTAGGGTTCACAAGAAGAGGACTCTCTGGGGCATCCTTGGATGCCATCAGAGTAGCACAGGACATAGGAAAGATCTGGAACCAAGAAACAAAGCAGAAAAGCCATTCCAGGATAGCAGCTTGCTGCTTCTGCTTCAGCTTCAACTGCTGTCACAGGAGATGCAAGCCAACGTAATTCCCAATGTATTAGAAAAGTCTGTCTTCTTTGCCTGCTGGCTTGTAGTGTTCTACTTCTATATTGACAGATCCAATGTCTTTTTTGGTTAGATAACAGTGTAAAAAGTGTTCAGTTATAAAAACAGCCATAAAGTGGAAGCAGCTAGCCTAGCCCTCTTCATGAAATGTCCGGAAGAAGCATGTGATCTAAGGACATTTATGTACCAAGGAAGATGAGGCTTTCCTATATTATATTTTAAATGCATTCAAAGTTTTTTGATGAAATGTTTGTGTCGAAATCTCTCACTCTCAGAAATCTGGCCCGGCTTCTGACTGATGGGATCTATCTCCAGAAACTAGGTCCATTTTGGGAATCATTAAATACAGTGGACCCTGTACCCATAATTCCACAGCTTCCATATTCCTCCTATTCAATGTGAAATGGACTATTCACTACTCTTTAGTTACATTACATGTCAAAAAGCAGAGACAAAATCTAGCCTTAAGGTACATTGATTTAGATTATCGCGGTAAGGGGGGTGTGCCTGTGGTGATGAGAAATACCACTTAGCATCCTCAAAATCAACTACATTTTCATATTCAATAAGGCCTCAACCTTCTATGATTTGAACTACTGACTGACCTCTTTATACACATTATAAATTGACTATAGTACTTGAAAAACTTGAACTCAAAAGTACGTTCAATAAGATCAATAACAAACAAAATTTCATGCGAAAAATCCTTGACCAAGATGTGATGGGATGGAGGTGCAATTAAGGTAGATAATGGCCGTTTTGATAACTAGTTTTGTGTCCAATAATGCCAAGGAATATATCAACATCAAGAAGGAAGTCATTTTCAGAAACAGGTATGGATATGTTAAATAGTACCAAAGGACAAAATTTATATGGATGAGCCACAAAATTCCAAAGGAGACCTCCCAAAGGCTTCACATCCACAAGCTCCCATAGTTTTCACAGGTCAAAACATACTTGCATTCATTTCTTCAATTTCTGAAACTCTCATTTGTCTGCCCAAAATGGATAGAGAAACATTTATTCTTCTTTCTATAACTTTCGTGCCAGCAATACTTAGAAGCGAGTTATTATCTATCCGTAGGCATTTTCTAGATTTATAGGCTCATCAATTTCTCTGCCTAACTTTATTGTATCTATATAGCTTAAAGATAATTTCAATCCAAATATATATGCCATATCATTAGGCCATTCTGTGTTAGGTTCAGTCGAGATATAAGTTCATGCAAATACTGGAAATCCAGTCACGTGCATATATTTTCTCCATCCAGGAAAGAAACATACCTTTTAACTTGGGAAATACAAAAACAAAACCTGAAGATGGAAGGAGGTAGAGAAGGGGGGAAGAAGTACGTACTTGACACCCCACATGAGTTCCCATGCTGTTGATTCAGCTATATGTATAGCCTCTCTATCTACTTGGCCCACTGAAATTGCTTCACGACCACACATGCAAATCTCACCAAAATAAATCAGCAAGTTTACACTTCAATTAAACATAAAAAGGATCAAATATGATCAGACTTTGACAGTTTCGTCACCAATTCGATGCATGAAAGATATTACTTAACAAAGACATGTAAAGCAATAGTTCTAATAGTGTCATTTTCCAATCAAAGTCTTTCTAGATGTACATCTTGCCACTCATTCTCAGCTCTACAATGAACTAGACACCATAATAATAACCAGTGGAAAGAAAACACGTGGGACGGTATATCCTCTAGTTCGTCATGAAGAAAGCCCATTCCTTCATGTTTATATCATGTATCTTGCATATATTTTATCTGTGTTTTAGGGACATTGGCACCTTCCACAGATCCCGACATAATGTGCTGCAATTTAAGGCTCGTATTGCCCAAAATCTCTGCTGCCTTCAGCTGGATTCCCCTCTAGTATTATATTATTATCCTTGTCAGAACATCAGAACTGGGTTCATTACAAGTTCAGCAGTTTGATATAGCAAACTTGTTAAACCCATCGAAAAAGTTTCATGTAGCTTGCATCAATCTATTGACCATTAAGAAACTTTGAAGCTAATTGAGAACAACATATGCAGAAGTTAAATGACTACTACAATCTACTTCATTAAGTGATACAAGGAAAGTACCTAATAACTCTTACAGAAGACTAATTCATTAATATTTTTCAGTAAACTCAGGTAAGCAATAGTGCTATTGTGGCTAAGAATGGGACTCTGTTTATACATCCTTTTCTATAGAGAAACATACAAATGTGATTTTTTACTTTTTCAGATCTGAGCCTAATAAGGTTCAAAGATCTTCATTGGTTCTACCTCACTATCAAATGTTTGAGAAATGGTTATCACATTTCCAAGGTATGCAACGCCAGATGGCTGGCAAAGATACACTAGGACATATACATTTGGAACATCAGTATATGAGTTGTGTTGCTTCGCCACACCACTGATCGAGAAAATATGGATACTTAAGGTTTGATCCAAATGCATTCCAAACCACAAAACAACAAGAACAATGTATGGCTTCTCTCTTACAAGTACAGAATATAGTGAGTTGTGTCTCCAAATAGACATTGATGTTCTTACTCCTGAAGCTGGCAATGATCCCACATCTTAATAATGTAGAATTATAAAAAGTGCAAGCAATATGCCTGTGCATGACAAGAAAGACCCTTTTCAACTGTATACACAATACCAACATCAGGGCCTAAACAAAATCATATCAAAGTACATGTTTGACATACATGGAAATAAATTCTATCCCACGGTCTGGCTCTGAAGTTCATCACTTAGCAGAGAGCATCTGATCAATTTCTCCCTTGTGGTTGTACATAGACACTAGTTTCTTTGCATATGACGGCATGTGCCTATCCGCTCTGCAGAGGCATAGATTAGAAAAATTAAAAATGCAAAGTTTACAATAAAACAAGGTCAACCTTTCTTTTCAACATACCTTTGTTTCCCCCAAGCACGATTTACATGAAGATAGTTTCTGATAGTGTGGTAATCCAAGGAATAACGAGCAAATTCAAGACCCTTAGGCCCAATCTTTAACACAAAATCAATGTCAGGATACACAACCTTTTCACAGTATTTTCATAGTATTGCAACAAAGAAGGGTCCTTACCAGATTTAAAATAAAAGCTATTAAGTTGCCAACAAATATTGGCACTGTCTGGGATGGACCTTTCCCTGGGAAAAGAATGTAATTTGAATTATATTTTCCATTACAGCGAATAAAATGCTTATTTAAACTAAACTCAATTAATGGACCGCATTTAAATTCAGTGAAGTTGTCTATCAGGGCATAGCAACGTTGCATTTAATCTTTGTCATGAAGTCATATCCATTGTTATAAACCCTGTTTGCAAGTAGTTCTACAACCTAGATATGGTTGCAGTGTTTATTTATTCATACAACCAAATGTTTAAAGAATTTGGGTGTAAGTAGATTCTCCTTTACTCCTCCCTCTAACACACACACACCACCCTATTTTCATGTGCAAAGTTCATCTCTCATGCAAAAGACATATATATTAGTTAATGAGGCAAATAAAAACCATTGAAACAGCAGTGAAAACTGTTATTTTATAGTTTATTTTTCTCATTCAGCTTATGTGCTTTTAGTTTCTCACTGCAGAATTCCAAATGCGTTGTGCTTGCTCCATACCTAACTTAGCATTATCATCTGCCTTTACAGTTTCCATGACAAATGGACGCCTGTTGCCCTAGAACAACCATGCACCCATTCAGTGACTGCAGAAATATTGAAAGAGATGATATATGAAAAAAATGTCTGCTACCTGACTACTTGTGGGGGTAACTTCCAAAAGATCTTTTACCAGGTCTAGCATCTCCTTTCCACGTTCATTCCTACCATTCACCATAGGTATTACTAGTGCAAAAAAACTAGAGCTATGAATTGTCTGTCTTGTTACAAAAGGTCTTCTTTGAAATATAAAAATATATAGATATAATAAAAATAATCCAGTAAATCACCTAACAGTGACATATTGTGGATGTTGAGTCATGCTTATTCCAGCATATTTCGGGACACCCATGTAACCTACGACCAGATCCTGATGATTTAAAAGGGCAGGAAACAATTCCATTACTTGGTAGTAAACTTTTGAATCCCCCCAATTATTTATAAAATGGTAAACAGGGACACCCATGTAACCTAGTACCAGATCCTGAAATGGTTTAAAAGGACTAGAAACAATTCCATTACATCCCAAGTTTTAGGCATTGCCCTATTTGAAGAGCTTTCAAGGCATGCTTCATTCTCCACTATCTATCTATGTTTCAAACAATAATCATGAAATCTAGATGGATTCAATTTTAATTTATACAAGAGGAAACCTTGTTAAATCTACTGACAAGGTCTTACAAATTCAAATTTACATGCATTAAGATGGCAGTAAGATATATGCAATATTGACTTGCAAAAATGTGCTAATCTATAAGCATAACAAAGAAAACAAAATGTCTTAAATACGTATGGAGAGCAAGTGCAACAAATGAAATATATGTGACTTTTCAACTGCTGAGTAGCAGCTGTAAAGTTATAGCTGAAATTTTATTATAAGTAATGTATTACTTACTGCTAAGCCATTTGTGTAGTCAAAACAGCTGCAAAGAAACACCATTATACACATTGTCAGGCATAGTTAGGAAAATGAAAATATATAGTGATTGACAAAACATATCAATACTAGATATGTCTTTGCTATAAGGAATGATCAGGGAGCCGAATCATGCTCCTGTTTCTTAATTGACAGACAAGACACTACAGAAGCTAATAGCTTCAAAATTACCACTAGATCCACTACATTAATTTCCACATATAATATTGCAGTTACAGAATAGTTAGTTATACAACTTAAACATACAGATCTAAAATGTGTGTGCTTAACCTCTTATCTAATTTGGCTCATAATTCAGGTTTCTTAATCATATAAAACATATTGAAGGTTGTCATTAATTACTAGCATACTTCCAAATTTAATGGCCATGCATTTGCACAAAACCTCATGAGAAATTACAGTCTCATGGCTGTCTTTGAATTTGCGAAGATATGCTAGTGGTAAATGATGAGAGAAGATAAAATAAACATCAAGGGTTACCTATAACAGGAAGGAGCAATCACATCAGTTAACTCATTTGCTGGTAGGCAGAAATATGGAACCTGCCTTAATAACAATATTATCAAGAATCAAGCAGCATACAATCATGATCCAAAGGTAACAAGATACACAACTAAACTAAGTTACCTCCTCAATATGACCATCTAAATGCTTCAGGTGAACCTGTTGAAGAATAATATAAGAAAACCAAAAAAGAAGTTAAAATAAGCAGTGGGTTGAGCATTTATGTAAGTTTCAGAATCAAAGAACGGCAACTTATTTATTTCAATGTTAATCATCCATGAAAAATTGACACAGCACATACACAAGCGCCCGCCCCCCCCCCCCCCCCCCGGCACACCCACCCACCCAAAAAAATAAATAAAATAAATAAATAAAATAAAAACCCTACATCCATGATGGAATTGAATTCACTATGTCCGTAACTGATCATATGAAGCATCTAGCTACCACAGGAAAAAGCACAGAATTGAACATAGGTGTACCACAAATACTATTAACAAAATCTTAAGCATAACAAATTTGTGGTACAGCACTGTAATTATTTGACACCTTAAATAATATTATGAAGGATAAAGAAATAGTTAGTGTTTGGTAAAAAGTACTACCAACTTGAATTTTTGTAATACAAACTAGGTACATAATTCAGAAAGCTACGGAACCAAACCTTGTAATCTTGCATGAATTCATAATGAAGAACAGTTTCTGGATCAGAACTAGCTGCCTTAAGAAACTTATCTAAGCCTTCTCGTGTCCCATTATCCACTGCAGAAATGAATCAATCACTTCCAGATAATATGAATACATGAAACATCAGCAACATGAGTATAATTAATCAACCCATGCTTCTGTTAAACATAAAATGAACAATACGAAAGGTATATATATCATTTTCCACCTGCATCTTTGGGGGATAACTACATCCATTAACGTAAGTGCAATAGCATCATCTGAAGTCTTATTCATTGAATGATGAAACCAGGATGCAAAACACTTTTGTCTATGCATAATACGAGTTTTATGATCTCAACTAATACTTCTAACAATTATATTGATTTTACACTAATTTGATTCCAGAATCTTCATCAAAATAGTATGTAACATCTAAACATGCTGAAACACAATGAAAAGCATAAAATTACCGCAATTAGTTCCAAGAACATAAAGCTTTTCCAAATTCAGGTAATGCTCCACTGATCTTAGTGCTGCACTTTAAGAAAGTATTCTGCATTAAAATAGTACACGTCACGGAGAAGCAACCCAAAGAAAGGGAATACATTACAGGTGTTATGGTCACAATACCTTGTACTTGGCATCCAACACCACAGAAAAGAAGACGCTTCACACCAGCAGCCTGAGAGTGGAAACTGAAAGTTTACTCCATTTATTATCTTTAGAAGTTAATGATGCTTAAGATGGTTGGAGGAGAAAGCACATAACTAAACACTAAAACCTTGTCTACGCTAGAGCTGAATACTTAAATCAATTGAAAGAGCTACGCACAACAGATAAAAAGGTAGTGTTTAAACAACCTCATAGTCAAGTTCCATTCATGTATATAAAATTATTCCAAACTTCCATTGAGCTTATTTAGCATTAGCTTGATTTTCTTGGTGTGTTCAAGAATCATAAATTTGGTAGCTATTTCACCATAAATATACAGCAGTTACCACTCCATCTCACAACAAAGTAACATTACCTATTATACATAATTGATGTTTGCTTTTGGTTGAATATATTCAGCTCATTTTGAATGCAGGACATAACCAGATAGGCACCAAAAAGCAGCCCAACAATACTATCTGTTCAATTGTCACATTGATAATTAAATGCTATATTCCAAATGATCGTCTACAATAATCTATCATTACTAGTTCTCTGGTGAAATGAGACATTGGGTAACACAGAAAGTGTATCAATCTTTTAATAATTACTGATCCATCTATCAACACCCCCATTGCTTTCCTTGTTAAGAACTTGCAAGAAAATTCTCATGCTCCTCCAATTTGGTTGATATTCAAGCAGTTTAGGAGGCTCTTGATCCAGGCTTGTTCAAAATTAACACTGACGGCTCAGATTTTGGAAAGCCTGCCGGGTCAAGTGGTTATTAGAGAGGATCATAATCATTTTCTTTGGACTATCCAAATCCATTTGTATTGCAAACTCGAGCAATGTAAAGATTTTGACTATTGTCAACATTTTTGACTGTTTGTTGAAAGATCAGTCTGCTCCACTTTCCAATCTCATAGTTGAGTGTGAGTCAAAAAACTGCCCAAGAATTGTTAACCCCTGAAAATTCAACTTTAATATTAACAAGCTGTGCCACTCCATCTCCAGATGCCCACTAGTTCTATCTTTCATATGGACCTCAGTGCAAATGATTTGGCTGACTATTTTCCAATACGGTGTTCTTGGGCTTGTGAAGATTTGTACTTGGATCTAACCCGTCGTCTTGAAGTCAGTCTTTTTCCCAACAAGGTATTGCTCTTTTTTAAAAATGATCATGTCTCACATTGAGCATGTTCCCTTGTAATTTGAGATCTTCTTCCTTATACAAACAACCTCTCTTTATTCTCCCAAACAAGAATCCCACCCTAAACTTAGGCGAGGTGAAAATCCACCATTTATATAATAAGCAATAGTTAATGACAAAACCCACCTACTTAATCAATGTATATAAATCATACTAAAGAGAGAGAGAGTATTGGGAAGAACAACAGAACCTCAACCAGCGCTAAAGTATTCAGATTGGGGGATAGCGTTGGCTTTACTCCTTTAGCAGCAAGAACTTCCTCTGGTGTTCTAAAATCAGCAGAATTATTTGATTAGACGATAAGAATAGCAGACAGAATTTATCTATCAAGGCACTTTACAGAAGTACTGGAACGGACCTTGCCAAGATAGGCTTGGGAGTAAATCTATCTTCTGGATCACTGGGTTTTATGAAGAGAAAGATACAATTATACAAAAAACTTCTGCTTGAGCAGTGACAATATTTTTCTAAGGCAACCGATGTTGGTTTGAAGAGATTGATACCTTTGCACACAGACAACAGCTTCAACCATGCCAGTTCTAAGCATTTCCATAGCAATTGTAGTCACTATACCAGTCCACTGGGCCCCTATTGAATAAAAATGGATATGAACCACAGTTGAGAACTTGAGATACAGCTATTCAAACATCCTCTGTTGCAATTCAAAGCAGTTTCACATTTTATTTCAACTTTTTGTTCTTTCTACATATTCTCTCATTTTCTCTCCTATCTTTCATATTGAGGTTACTATGGAACCTCAAGAGTGCATAAAGTTCAAACAATTCCTAGCTACCTGATTTAAGAATCCCCAGGACTAACTTAACTCAAATAAGAATGAGATAGCTACTTGAACATCAGCAAAATCCGAATATACATATAAACAAGAAGTTTGTGGCCATGAGTGTAAGTTTTAATTGAACACATGGATATCACACTCCAGATGTAACATAATGAATAAAAATATACCATGTTCAGGGAGTAAGACTTTTAGCTAAATGTTGATAGAAATGCAACAGTGGATTATTAGATAAACTGAACATGAAAGAAACTAATATAGAATAACTACAACCAAGAGAAACAGCAGCATACAAAATAATACTACACATACTTCCAACTTTGTACCAAGGAGGGTTGAATTATGTAGGATCAATCAGATCAGAGACGAAGAGCAGATTTTTCACTTAATCTTCAATGCCAATCATGAACTACTTATGTGGCAGTATATTGGCAATGTCATGAACACCAACTTGAACATTATATTTAAAAATCATAGGGAAGCGAGAAAGAAAACGTATAGATAGAGTAAATAACTGAAAGACCTTAAGTTATGTAAAATTAAATAAATGAAAATAACTACAACAATATTCACAAACTCACCCTCAACAGGATTGGTTTTCCGAGCATAAAACAAATTATCATAAACTCCCATATAAGTCTCATCCAGTGAATCTGCTTTCCGACCTCGTCCATGGACGATGGGCTCAAGAACCTAATGTGGTTTAAGTACGTCATTGGACATTTCAAATGCAGACATATGACAAAAACATATATATAGATGCATCCATATGAATTCACAAGTAGTTGTTTATATACATCTTCTAAACAAAAAAAGCTTCAACATCCTAAAAGCCCCTCCAACAAGAGAAACCAATAACCCCCAAAGCTTTTATGTAGAATAAGAAACGAAAACAACACATTCTTTTTGCATTACTTCAACATCCCTTGCATAATGTAGTGATTGACATGCATATACAGAGTGAAGACAGCAGTGAGACTACAAACTGCTAAAAAACAAAGGATAATCAAAAGTCCAAGTGCATTATAGTTTAAACGCAGATGGAAAACCCCCAAAAACCACAAAATAAATGAATTTAGAGAATGGGGCAAAGAAATAAACAAAAAACTCACTTCAATATTAGACATGCCGTCCCCCAAGAAGGCGCACGCATTTTTCACATGTGCAATATAGTAGGTATCACACAAACCACAGCGGCTGCTCGACAAAGAACCACCATCAGATAACTCATTCGCCTTACCCACAATCCAAAATATCTGGAATCGCCCCTAAACAAATTCATTAATGCAATGGCGCACATGTAATGCAATGAATCCCATCATATGTAAATGCTCGTCAATCCTCAAAATAATCTTTTAAAAATGAAATCAAAACAGCACAAATTCCAGAAAAGCGAGCAGCACAAAATACGAGGAATGAAGAACCTGCAATGGTCCTTGGCTGGGTAGGTTCCGCCGGGAGGAATTGGCCTGGACTTTTGCCTCCAGTCATCTCTTAGCTTCGCAGAGTTAAAGCTGGTGCCTTCTGCGTGTTCCTCCCAAAAGATGAGCATCAACGGCAAGGAGAGAAGAGGGATCGAGGAGTTGGGAACTGAGATGGATTACCTGTGGAAGACGAGCACAAGATAGAGCGGGAGAAATGAGTAGAGGAGAGGAGTCCGGTGGCCATCGCCGTTGCCATTGCCATTGCCACTGTCAATGCAACCTACAAAACAGTTCGTCTGTATTATCAGTGCTTCTGCTCCACACAAAACTGAACAACCGTATCTTCCTTTTCTACGACGTGTGTATTGTAACGAGTCCAGTTAACTCATTCGACATTCACTCACAAGGTCGACCAAGGTCATATCTTCCTAAAGATAATGGGTTTGTTTAGAGAGGATTTTAGAAATTTGAAAGTTTGGGAAAAATAATAAGTTAGAATTTAATTTGATGTTTTATGAGAAAAAAAAATTATATTTGTGATATTTTTAAAAAATTTGAATAGTTATATATATTTATTTTTAATAATTTTTTTTTTTTCTAATTTTTAAAAATTTGAATTTTATTTAAAAATAATTAATTTTTATTTTTATTTTATTTAAATTTATTTATTATATATTCATTATATAAAAATAATATAATTAAATAGATTGTTATAATGTAAAAATAATTAAAACAATAAATTTAATAAGCAATTAAATTGAATTATAAATTAAAAAATACAAATAAATTATAAAAATATTAATATATTAATAATATAATTAAAAATTACAAAATATAAATAACAAATAATATTATAGTATTAGTATTAGTATTTTTTTAAGGGCATTTGGATTTAAATATCTCTAACCTAAAACACATTTAAATTCAATTTCTCTTTATTTTGAATGTATTGCACTCTCATTTCATGGAAAAAATCAATTTTGGTGCCAATATAATCAAAATTTATCAATTTTGGTCCCAATATAAAAAAACTCATCAATTTTGGTCCCAATATAAAAAACTCATTAATTTTAGTCCCAATATAAATAATTTCAATCAATTTTGGTCCCATTATAAACATTTTCAATCAATTTTGGTCCCATCGTTAAAAAACTAACGGAAATTGCTGACATGGATATGACGGAGGTGACGTGGCAGTTGACCTGGAAAGTACATGGCCATGTACAATTATACACACATGGCCATGTATATTTCAGTGTATAATTATACATGGTCATGTTGTTACACGGCCATGTACAATTATACACGGCCATATTGTTACAGGGCCATGTATATTTCAGTGTATAATTATACATGGACATGTTGTTACACGATCATGTACAAATTATACACGGCCATGTTGTTATAAGACCATATATATTTCAATGTATAATTATACATGACCATGTTGTTACACGGCCATGTATAATTCTACAAGGCCGTGTAACTTTCTGTTTTGGTCTAAAATTTTATTTTTTTTTATATTTTTTAATTTTTTATTTTTTATTTTTTTGAATTTAGAATAGTTGATATAGTTAAAATGGAAAAAAAAATCAATAATAATCATAATATAATTAAAATATATCAATTTTAGTTCAAATATAAATATTTATTGAGTATTTTCTTTTGGAAGATTTTGTTTAAAATTCTACTAGCAAAAAAATTTCTATTACAAACATCCAATTAATGTATTGAAATAATAAATTAATTTTTAGTAATTGGATGTTTGTAAAAGAAATTTTTTTTTATAAATAATAAAATTTTAGACAAAACATTTCAAAAGAATATATCTTATAAATTTTTATATTTGAATCAAAATTGATAAATTTTAATTATATTATAATTACTATTGATTTTGTCCATTTTAACTATGTCAACTATTTTAAATTCAAAATATATATATTTTTTAAAATATAACAAAAAAAATTGTACATGGCCGTGTATTGTACATGGCCGTGTATAATTATACACTGAAATATACATAGCCATGTAACAACATGGCGGTGTATAATTATACATGGCCGTATACTTTCCAGGTCAACTGCCACGTCACCTCCGCCATGTCGACGTCAGCAATTTCCGTTAGTTTTTTAACGGTATGACCAAAATTGATTAAAAATGTTTATAATATGACCAAAATTGATTGAAATTGTTTATATTGGGACTAATATTGATGAGTTTTTTATATTGGGACCAAAATTGATAAATTTTTGTTATATTATGACCAAAATTGATGAGTTTTTTATATTGGGACTAAAATTGATAAATTTTAGTTATATTGAGACCAAAATTGATTATTTTCCCATTTTTATTTACACTTGACTTCCTAATACTCATTTTACCCATGAAATCATTATATAATGTAATGAATATTGTTTGTACTCTCATTATTTTTATATAGACTTACATTATATAATTACGTACTCTACAATTATCTGCCAGTACAAAGAAACTGTAAAGTTATGTGCCTTAAATTTTTATTTATATACTAAAATAAGGAGTACTTTGGGGACACAAAGGACCTCAGGTGTTACGCCCCGAAAGCAAGGGGATACTAACTAACAGCTGAGTCCTCCAATCACTTATTCACAAACTTCGTGTGGGACTAGCCAAGGAAAAACGAGACAACCATAACTTTAATAAGCCAAGCTTTATATCTAGTGTATTTTCATCGTTGATAATTGTTATCGCTGATCATATTTTATACAACTACAATAATTTTTAATGTACTTTTATTGTGAATTCATATACTCTGGATACAACTAATTTGCAATTTATTTGTAATGATATATGCTCTCACATATTAGTTGGGTACGTCGAGGAATATAAGGGAAATCTCATCTAATTTTGAAATCATTCAATAGTGGTCTCATACAAAAATTTTTATTCAATGCACAATCATCAAAAAATAAAATGGAATTTCAATCATGTGATGAGAAACCAGAAATACCTAAGATAAAACCTCTTTGCAACTTCGTGAGTTATATCCTAAGTGACCACAACAATCATATTATTAAAATGTTTCACCGATTGTGATTCAAATAGTCTTTTTTTGGTCGGCCTAATTAGACAGAAGTTGTATGAGAAATTATTTTACATGCGGGTTGTTCTGCATCACATCTATCGTTTCTTGGATGGCTGCGATTACGCAATAAAGTTTTGAGCAAGTGACATAGCCTCAACACAAACGTTATATACCATTCAAAATCCTTCCGTAGGGGTGCATAAGTAGCTTTGTTAAAAACGGACGTTCATCATTTCTTGTGGTGCATCAAATATCTCTGCATTACCTTACAAAATATAATTACCCTGTTGCACATATCATAATAAATTAAATATATATTCTACACATACTGGTGTACGAAAGTTATCAGCTATATGTCGGAGACAATATGCGTGGTAGGCTTTAGAAAATATGGCGGGAATAGATTTTAAAAATTCCGAGTGTCTATGTAAAAAAAAGTTTATTTTTTTCCAATTATACCGACTATCAACACGAAAAATAGACCTTAAGCTCCAACAAAATAATTCTCAATTTTTATCATTTTCGACAGACACGACTACATAGAAACAAAATTTTATAAACATCCAATCTACTAGCATATGAAATATATACCAAGGTTCGTACATGAGTATTCGTATTACATATCAACCAAACCATAGTATCTTCAAATAAATAAAACATATAATATTATACAACATGAGTATAAGATTAATAACTATAGGTATACTCTACCAAATAAATATTTTCGGTGAAAATGCCCACGTTTACTACCATAAAATCGCAACAACCCTTTCAAATATGTTTCTCCTATACATACTGTTTTATACGATGGGTCACCATGATTGTAAAAAATTATCAACTATTGCGGAATTTCTTGAATATGGCACAATCACCAAAGGATTGGTGAAATAATAGTGAAAATTATCGATCATACCTGAGTTTCGATATTCGTCTTCAGTGGAACGTGAAGAGGATCGGTCGTGAGTCCTAATATATCACTATAATCAACCAAAAAATTATCACAACAAAAGAACATTCGAAATTAGAACTTCCTCTTACGAGTGTTTTTCTTATGCGAAATAAACCTAAATATTGAAATATGAATTTGATATCACCATCGATCACTCACAAATAAAATAGAAGTTTAGATTGAAGTTCTTTCGCCTAGAAATAAGCTATCGATGAGAGAAAAATATCTAGAATGATAAATTAGATTGTAGAGAGATAAAAGATAATATAGTAATTGATATTGGGGGTGGAGAGTTAATGTTAATAATTATTAAAATGTGGGGAGAAAACGTGGATATAAACTGGAGAAAAGGTGGATATAAACTGAATTTAAAGATAAAAATAGAGGTAGAGATTTTAATTCAAATGTCGATTTTTTTAATATTATTAATAATTTTTTATTTAATAAAAAAATTGATAATATATAAAAAATTTAAATTAAACATATTATTATAATTTTAAAATATACAAATTTGGCCAAAATCTTAATGGCTAAGACCTATATCATTTTCCTCATCCACACCACAGCAGCCGCAGCCGCACTAGCCAAGGCCCAAGGCAGCCACCAGGTTCTTCCTCTTTCTTCTTTTCTTCACCGATTCCTACCTTTCTTCCCCGATTCTTCTTCTTCTTTCGCCGATTCTTGTTCTTCACCTCTTCTTCTTCTGCTGCCTGCTCCGGTCTTGCGCGACGGACTGCCAGATTAAAAAAACAAAAGAAAAACAATTAGGGCCGAACCGTCGGTTTAATTCACGGTTTGGAGAAACTATAAACCGAAACAACCGTAGTTCGGAACTACGGTTTCGGTTCGGTTTGCATCCGGTTTCGGTTCGAACTGTAACCGCATAAACCGGCGAACCGGCTGTTCGAATCGACGGTTCGGAACCGAATGGGCAAGTCTAATTCCCGCCCGTCGAGGTGCAAATGCATTTGAAAAACTAAGCTCTCGACTGCGGTGAAGAAGAAGCTTAAGATGGCGAGGGAGGGTTTCGTTGACCCACTCGGCGGGATTTATGGCCCAATGCTGTTTCCCCGCACCATTAGGCCACCAGCGGATGTTCCGGTGCCCGCCGATGCAAAAGACCTAGAATCTATCCACACTTTCATGAAATCTTTGGTATACTCGCCTCGCCTCGCCTGTTTTATTTTATTTTAAAATCTTGTTCGTTTTTACATCTCGAAGTGTGTACTGGTGCAACTGAGTTTGAGAAAGCGAGATTTGTTTATTTTTGTTGCGTAATTGAAAGGTTGTTCACGTTGCTTGGTAATATTTTAGCTGGATTTCGAATTTACGTTCTTCCTTTGTCTCTAATTTAGGGATTCGAGTTCTTACAGAATGAATTAGCTATGTAGGGCGGCGGCTGTGGCTGAAAGTGTTAAACTAAGTTTTGAATGATACCAATTCAAATGATATGCATGATTCTCAGTGCAGCCATATTTGTGCTATATTTGTAAGTGTTTTTGAAGAAAAGCATTACTCTTTGTATATGCTGAGTGTTTCGTGGAAATTAGTGCAGGCTTGATTGCAAATGAGCAGAAAAATCAATGTGGGATGTATATGATGTGTTGTTGTCTTTTACCTGGGTGGTGATGGCTCTAAGTGGTTTTCTGAATTATGCAAACTTGATATGAAGTGAGATTTTTATATAAATTATGCATTACCTTTTCAGGAGTTCAGGAGTCCTGAAAAGCTCATGAATGAGGCAAAGAGAATTGTCGATGGTGGAGCAGAGCTTCTGGAATCTTATCTTGCTACGTTTACTGAGAATGTGGGCAAATCTGATGCCATTACTGCAAAAGATAAGGACAGGCCTCAAGAACGACGACCTGGTCTTGGTCGAGCTCGTAAGAGGGCTCCATTCTCTCTGAGGACCAGCTTAAGGTGAGGACAGAAACCTTAACTAATTAACCTTTTTGTTCGTATTATATGCTCTGAATATAATTTTGTCTAGATCATAACTGCTCCTTTGCTTTCATTGCAGTCATCCTTCTGTGAGCTTGGAACCAACTGTGGATCTTGATAAGCTTCAAGATCCGGATGAATTTTTCAATGCATATGAAAGGATGGAAAGTAAATATTGAGTCCTGACACATTGGCGTCTATAGTAGTCTGTTTTCTTTTGAGTTAGTACCTTATTCATCTTCATTATTTCAGATGCCAAGAAAGAAATTGAAAAACGGCTGGGAGGCAATGTGGACAATGTAAAAAATTACAAACCATCAAATAGTGGACGTCGTCGTCGAGAAGGAATTCTTGGGTATATTAAGTGTTTTGTTAGCCATATGATTGCTTTGTGATTCATTTAGACATATTTTATAATTTTCTTTGGTTGTGTTTCATGAACCACACCTGTTCTTATTGCAGGAAGTCATATAACTACAAGCACCGATACTCGTCAGAGCCTTCTGAAAATGATATATTAATGTCATCTCCAGAAATGGTGGGTCGGGATGTTGCTGCTTCTCCCCAAGATGATTTGCAAGAAAAGTTGATTCATCCAAAACCTATTCCCGATTTTGACATAGAGGAAGTTGAACTAGCTGGTGCGTAGATGCATTGTATATGTACAATCCAAAGGAATTAAATTTATGGCACCATTCCTGTTAATAGAATATTAAATCCTGAATGTTCTTTAAGTGAAAATCTTATAATCTCACTTAGTATTCTGTGCACTCTGATCTTGCAGCATCTATGAAGAAGGCAGAGAATGAAGTCAATAGTATCTTGGAAGAACTTTTGTCATGTAATAATGAGAATCTAGAAGGGGACGGGGCTCTGAATTTATTGCAGGATCGCTTGAAGATCAGGCCTCTTGATCTGGAGAACCTATGCACAACTGAGCTGCCTAGTGCTAGAAGAACTAATACATTTACTGTGGCAGAGCGTTATCTTGGAAATACTAGTACACCCACTGCGACAGAAAGTTCGCAAAAGCAGCAGAAGAGTACGCCAGTTATTAGCAACTTGAATATATTGAGCCAGAAATCTATGAGTCATGATCAAGTTGCTAATCCACTAAATCTTGCTTCACCGACTCCTCCAAGAAGTCCATTTGCTTCAATATCTTCACTGCAAAAGAGAATTTTGCAACCCTATCCCCTGAGGGATCCATTTTCCCCTGCTAATCTTGATGTTTCCGATTGCCGAAATGTTTCTCTTCTTCAACCCAAGAATAAGCCACTTGATAATGCTAAACCAACAAAAGATTTGGGCTCGTCCAATGAATTGGAATCATATGTTGAGGCCGAGAATAGAGAACCTGATTTGGAGTCATATGTTGAGGCTCAGAGTAGAGAACCTGAATTGGAGTCCTATGTTGAGGCTGAGACTAGAGAACCTGAATTGGAGTCCTATGTTGAGGCTGAGACTAGAGAACCTGAATTGGAGTCAAATGTTGAGGCTGAGAATAGAGAACCAGTAGTTTCCTATCCTCTGAGAGATTCATTTTCCCCTGTTAATCTTGATCTTTCTGAATGCCGAAATGATTTTCCTGTCCAACCCAAGAATACGTCACTTGGTCAGGCTAAACCAACAAATGATTTGGGCTCGTCCAATGAATTGGAGTCATATGTTGAGGCTGAGAATAGAGAACCATTAGTTTCTAAAAAGAATGCACATAATGATGTAGGGAAAGAAAATACTCCTCCTGAGCAGGTTATGGATGGGAGTGCTGGCATAAAAACCAAAAATGTTGAGTGTAGGCTTAATGAGTTGGAATCTGACGAGGTTGAGGAAGCTATGAATATTGATCAGGGTAAGAATATTTTTCAACTGATGGTTAAGCATCTTGTTGGATGACAATTATGTTACCATCTTCTTGGTGTTTATTTTAGCACACTTGTAGCTTCATGACACGGGCATGCATGAGATGGTTAGGCACGCTCTTTAGCAAGATATGAAGAGAATGACTATCCACTAGTTTACCGGATAGCATATAGTTAACTATTATTTTAATAACTAAGATGTTCTATATGCATCATTTTCTTCCTTGTCGCAGGCAACTCAGTTCCTTCTGCACCTGAAAATGTCGGAAGAGATCATATGTCAAGCAGAAAGCAAACCAACAGGGAACAACAGCCAGAGGTTATTGCTTGTTTTAATTAAATATTGCTTATTGATGTCAGTATGAATTAACTCCCAAATGTGGTTTGATGCCTAGAATTTGTTATTCTGATGTCAATGCTCCTAAACTTTGGAATTTTTTGGGGTTCTTATGACACTCTATAAGTTTCAGTCTTCAACAAATATTTTCATTTTGCGATTTTGATTGTTTGTTCTCCTTGCTGGTTTTTTCCTACTTCCTCTTCCATACCAGTTATCATGACAAGCTTTCTCTTGCTGGATTGTCTAGATTAATTTAATTCAGATGGACTATTTGGCAGTTGGTGCACTAGTGATTAATAACTGCCATTTGTCTCAGCAAGAAAAGAAATTTGTATATCTCTTAAGTGATTAAACCGGATCTTACACTGTCCTGCTTGCTGTGTGTTTTAATTTTTCTGAAATTGTCAATCTTCCAATACCAATGTGATTATGTATTGATAAATATTTTATATGTGCCCGTATAAGTGATTCAACCTGCTGGGGTGGATTAATAGAGTATTTATGTTCTCATTTTAACGAAATTTGGTATATCATGCAAGAATTGAAGGTTTCTATCATTTTTCTTAGGTTCGCAAATCAAAGCCACCAAAAGGGGGAAAGGTAGCAGGGGAAAAACGCATCCGAAATGCACATCCCATGAGGAAAAGCCTTGCAGGTGTTTATAAATTTATCTGAGAAGAAAATGCATTATCATTATAACTTGCTCGGCTTATTGTCTACGTGCACTGACAATGCAGAAGCTGGAACATGCTTTGAATCTGGGGTAAGAAGGAGCAAAAGAATTAGGATGAGACCTCTGGAATACTGGAAAGGCGAGAGGTTCTTATATGGACGAGTAAATGACAGTGAGTATTATTACACTGCTTTTCAATGCTTTGGATGTCTGATGATGATTCTTAGGCCTTTAGTGCAGTGGGAAGATTGTTATTCTTTTGATATGATGCATTCACTTTTACTTGTTTTTGTCTTCCCCTATTTAGTATTATTAGTCGGTTCAGTGTGTCTGGTAGTTGAGTTAGCAGAAAATAAGAAACTTGTTGATTGAATAAACTACACTATAAACGAAATGACGAATCCTGCTTGTTGCCTTTTGCTATAAATAACATTTGGGATTGAGGGATTCTACTAACATATTGAAGTGTTCCTTTATGTTGCCTCAACCTTGAACTTCAGTTCATGACCCACGTAGTTAATCAGGCCACATTATCTTAAATCATCATTCACTTTGTTCATATTGCATTTTTCATCAACACAATTCCCTATAAATATTATTTTAAAAAAATACAATATACATATATATATATATATCATTCGCTTACAAAAATCAATTTTTCAACACAAAATTTTATTGTTTATATTATCGACACAATTCCTCATATCTAACATAAAAAATAAATTCATCCAAAAAACACTAGGTGAACAAAGTGATTACTTTTCCTTTCTGTTTTAGGCTTGAAGCTGATAGGAGTGAAGTACATCTCTCCTGAAAAAGACAACGGAAAGCTGAAAGTGAAGCCATATATTCCTTCGGATTCTTCTGAATTCAAGGAGCTTCTCGAGCTGGCTGCTCGCCATTGAACTTGCTCACAGTTATATCTGAGACCTACTTCCCAGGTAGAAGATGCATGCATAGATATACTAATCTTCAACTTTTCTGTGTTGAAATGTTACTTGAGAGAGAAGAGAAGATAACGTTTCCGAGGGAAATAGGGAATGGATGCATAACAAATCTTTGTCCATCAAGCAACGCTGTCCATTTTCAAGGTAAAAATCGAAACATTGATCCCTCTACCTAAAAATACGTATATGTATGATTATGAATGTCGAGTACCGCATGCCTAACTTGTTTGAAACATGTTCTGCACTTTGTCAAATCAACTTATTTGATGGCATAAATCTCACTGTCTCGTCATCCCTTCTGTCATTTCATGACTGCGGCTGTGGATGGTCCAGTATCTGTGTTTTGTGTTTGTATGTTTTCTGGTCAAAGTGTGAATTTGATTTGTTGCCTGAATGGATTCTGGTTTGGTTTGTCCTATTTAGACATGAAGATTAGATTATACTACCTCCATCCGCCTCTAAGGGTTCCGTTTATTTTTTGCGTATTGATTTTTTGAATATTAATTATTATATCAAAACATAGTAAAAATTGCAAAAATAATTCCATTAATATTTTATAATACTAATAGAAGAACATTTGGAAAAAAAAATTATACAAATATAAAAATATTTTTAATTGATTAGGTAGTTTTCTATTGCTTTCACTGTGATCTTTAGAAAAATTGATTTCTTTTGTCATTTATTTTAATTTAATTTATGAAGTAGTTCTACTTTGTTTCAACCAACAAAATAATACTGATTCTAAATTTGATTCCTCTCTACTGATTTGTTACCATTATATTGAAAAACAACTGATTTGATTTAATTTGAATAGTAGAATTGATTGTTGCAATTTACTCAAGTTTTCGTTAGGTCAGGTCAGGGCATGTTTGCTGTGTTTTATAAGATTGATTGTTCTGAACGTTTGAACGACTATTACATCTTGTAGGGCGTGCTTGTTTAACGATTATGTTTTTAGAGTATTTTGAATTTTATTTTATCTTTCTAATCAAAAAATGTATTTAAGGTGTTGTCTTTTAAGAATAAAACATACTTATTTTTCATAAAGGCTAAATTGTACTAAATTCACATGTGGTTTCATGAAATTGTTCCAAATTTCCTATATTTCTAAGACTACGATAAAATTTTCTCGTGGTTTTATGTAACGGTATTTGACTTAAATGCGCGAATAAATTTTAGAATTTTAATTTTTAAATCCCTAAAATTATTGGTGCAATTTAACCTTTCATAAATTGCATACTATCAAAACAAAACAAAATTGAAAATACAAATAGATGAATTGCAAAAATATATTCTTGCATTTCATTCAAAATATATAGAATATCTTTACTGTATTTGGTAAACAACTACTTAAAATAGGTATTCACAATTTATATTTCATATTAATAGTATGTTATATACTATTAATATAAATTAATGCAAAAAGAAAATAAAGTATAATAATAATAATATAAACTTAAATATATATATATATATATATTAGTAAGAAAAGAAAAACAGAGAAACATTATGAAGATAGAAGGGAGAAAAATTTATAAATATTAATTAATTATTCTTTAATTGGTAATTAAACTATTTTATGTTGATTAGTAAAAAATATGAGGATATAAATTGTGGATATTAAAAGGTATTTAAAATTAAATTTAAGCACAAAAAACTTTTGTTGAAATCCATTGCTAGTATTCTTCTACTCGGAAGGGGTGCTTCTTCTTTGGCATCAATAAGGAGGTTTCCAAGTAGAAAGATGCCCAAACCAGCATTGTTAGAGAAAAAAACATCTTGTCTTTCTAAGTTTGAAAGTTTAAGTGGGTGAATTTTTGTAACTTCTCCAGTATGATAAAGAACGACCAATTTTTATCTCACATATACATGACTAATTTGAATAGTAGTGCTCAAGTATATCTGTATTGTTCCCAAAGATAAAATAACTATTAAGCATATTGAAACAACAAAACAATGAACAAGATTAGAGTAATATAATCGGTAGAAATAAAAATAATAGGAGAGAAAGCTTCAACATTTGGGAGGGAAAAACTTGATCAAAAGATTTAAGAATTTAGATCTATTTAAATGCTATTTCAATAAACTAATTATAAGAACCTTAGTTATGAATTTAAGAAAGAAAACAATTATAATTAAAGAATCAACCATAATTAAGAAACCAAAATATATAAATTCTTAATTAAGGTAACAACATTATTAGAAAATCACAAATATGATCAAGTTTATCTAATCAATATGACTAGAGTGTTTTTAAATTCTTCTAGTTGATTGTCCAATCTGAAAGTTCATGGATCGGTTCAGACATTGTTAAACGATATGATTTGAAAATTTATATTTTATCATTCAATTAACCTATTTATCACTCACCGTAATTCCATCTTGTGAAAACCATTCGAATATTAAATTTCCCAAAAAATATTTCATTTAATATTTGATTTTCTAAAACTTTCAAAACATTCCAACACCTATATAAAAAAGGCATGAAAGAAAATTATTACAATTGAATATATTAAGAGAATAAAAAAAATAATGATAGACCACAAAAAAACTTTGTGATCAATGATTGACTCGGACCATCATCAAGGAATCATCATCACTCAAATTGAAAGCAAAGAATGTTGCATTACATTATTGGGGCATCAATAAATTTTGGCCAATAATGGTAGTAATAAAAAAAGTCTTAATTTATCTTATGTGTCATTGAATTTGAATTCAAGCCAATAAAACAATTTATCACACAATGACTTTTTAATTATGTTTGCTATCATTATATTGAAAAATGATAAAAATGATGAAAGAGAAAGTGTATTTATTATTTTTGTGAGAAAGGTGGAAAGAGAAGAAGTCTGAGTGTGGCTTCTGCTTCACCGGTCTTGGAGAAGAATTTTAATTTTTTTGGCTTCCATTAAAGAGTCATTAAAAGTGTAATTTGTTTTTGTTTGAGAAAAAAAACTTGTATTAATGTGAGAAAACCATCAATAATACTCTCACCGTCACTCTCTTTGCTCTCAAAGAGATACAAGTTTGAATGAAAATAGATCCTCTACAGGTGCTAGGTTTTTAAAACCTAATAATAGTACACATTTATATATATATATTTTATGTAATTGATCATTATTTTTTTGGAATGACTACAAGATAAATTTTCAATTATATGCAGTTGGCCGTTTAGTGAACATTAAGGCTAATTACAATAGTACTCAAAATTGCTTCAATAATTTATTACAAAATATAGGTAAGATGTTACATTTAGATCATAAGTTGCCATCAAATTATTATGCAACAAAGAAATTAATACGCAAATTGGGGTTACCGATTGTTAATTTGATTGGTGTAGAAATGGTTGTATGTTGTTTTGAAAGAAAGATAATTACAGGATTGTTGTAATTTTTCTTTGGCACATTATAAAGCACCTAAGGGAAGTAAGCCTCAACAGAAAAATTTATTTTACACGATTGAGATGTTTACCATTAACCTATAGACTACAAAGGTTATAAACTTCTAAAAAATGGCACTATGGTAGAGAAAGCAAGAGAAAGTTAACCACTTTGATTACAATTGACAATTTTACCTCCTAATCATGGTTATGAACAAGATAATAAATAATCCAAAAACACTTTGTTGAAAGTATATTCCTGTCTCATAGGAAAGATAAAGATGAAATATGAAATCAAATATGCCCGTTTAATAGTGCCATAGACGATTCTCATGGAATGACCCATGAATATGGTATTAATCAAGGTGGATGCACATAACTGTCTTTTTGGGATTTTTTATATTGAAAATTTCATTTGATTCGACACAATGTCACATTACAAATTAAAAAGAATTTGTTTGATAACATTTTATGTAATATCGTGAGAATCAAACTAAAAAGTAAGAATGCCATTAATATTTTAAAAGATATCAAAGTTTTATGCAATCAACAAAACTTACCGTGAACTTAGATACAAGTGATATGTTAGACAATAAATACATTGAGTTGATAGGAAAAAAATATGTCAATGGATTAAGACATTGAAATTCTTTCAATATTAGTAGATATTTTGATATAAATGAACTTAAAAGCTCTATGAAGAGTCACAAAAGTTATATATTTATGGTGAGGTTGATTGATTTTGAATGCATTCAAGAAGATTCCTTCGGATTATGTGTGGAGTTTTGTAAAGGTTAATATACTTTTCCAACAGTTGTATACTTCTGTATTGAAGTAAAAATATATAGAAAAATTGGATGAGAAAGCTCCAATAATTATTTGCAATTTTGAGAAGATATTTCCGCTAATTTTTTTTCAACTCGATAGAGCATCTTATGGTTCCTTTACCATATGAGACACATATAGGGTATGCAATATCAATTCACATACAAACCTTCGAATGGTATTAATAATAATAATAATAATAATAATAATAAAAGCTGACAGCTTAAATTTAAAAGCAATGAAATCAAGCAACATTAGTTTCAAATCAATGAAACAATACATGCCACATTAGAACAATAACATCAATCAAATAAGAATGAGTTGCAATTCCAAACAAAGAAAATCAATCCATAAAAAGCCAAAAAATTAATTTCAAATTAGAACACAAGTTTCATCTTATCCTGAAATTAAAAGGCATCTTCTCCACTGCACATCCTCCCTCAAGTTAAGGTATGTATGTATGTATGTATGTATGAATGTATGCATTTAGTACAAAAATAACACAAACAAAATCAATCAATCGCCTACTTTTAACACAATTTGTCTTTCTAATTACACTTCATTTCCCCTTCCGTCTCCTCTGCTGCTATTGCAAAATTTGCAATGAATAATAACAACCAACACATTCTCATTCGAACACACACTCTCTGTATGCATATATATATATATGAGTGGATATTAATTCCCCCTTGCGGGGAAAGAAGGAATAGAGCTAACATAAGCTCACTCATAGTGTACAATCTGGCTTCGATGTGGCACCAAAAATGGAGATGAGAGAAAAACAAAGACCTTAGTGACAAAGGATGCTTGCCTGTTGTAGAACTACAGATGCTTGCTAGGCCGCCGTCTTGATGACGACCCTCCTGGGAAGAGTTTCATGATCCATCCCAATACCCTCTCCACCACCTGATCCAACAAGTACAAATGTAAATCAGAAGAAATGGATAATAATAATAATAATAATATACACTTTTGGAATGTCGAACAAGTATCAGTTCAGTTCAATTGACTGTTTCAGAACTTGAATATAGCACATGATGGTTTTTTAGCATAAGCAGGATACAAAAGTGCAACACACTCAATCCATGTAAATAATGATGACGTACAGCTGCCTTACTTTCATTAAGTGATTATTAGATAATCAAAAACAGAGGATCTTAAATACTACTAGAAATTCAGAAGAACTGGGGGGGGGGGGGGGGGGGGGATATTAAACAGCTCAAAAAAGAGCGTGCCCGCTTGGGGAAAGTCGACAGAAGCAGACCAATAATCATAATCATGAGAGGAAAAGGTCAGGTATCTAATCCTCAAGTCTCCTCTAATTTAACCACACAAGTTTGTTACTGAATTCAGTTTTCAAAAAATATCCTTATCTACAAGTCAATGATAATATCTATGTATAAATATATGTTAGGAGGAAAAGACCAATGTATTGAAGGTCGGAAACAATGAAACGAAAAGTATAAAATGCATGGTTTGTTTTCTGTGCAGAGTATGGCATTCCAAGTAGCGTGATTTTTACAAAAGCTATTACCATTGAGGGGACCACATTTATTTGTGATGAATATGAAAGAAGTTACCTAATCCGCTAATTTCTAATTTACCTCATCGCCTTCATCAGCATATGTGATGTTGTTTTCATGCATAGTTTGAAAATCCAGTTGTCTTGGTTGAGTATTATCATTTGCCAAACTTTTTGCTGTCAAGAGTTCCAATCTCTGGGTTTGAGCCTCAAGCTTCCGGGTCAATTCTTTGTTGCGCTCCTTTAAGCATAAACAGAAGTACAAAGGTAAATAAAATTCAATAAAGAACCTACAGATGAAGATTAGTAATTGCAAATCTCACTATCCTGCACAAAAAGCAATTAAGAGGGTTAATTAATAAGGAAATTACGACGAAACAGATTTGTGATTTTATGGTATACCATTATCAACAATGTCAAATGGGGATCACAGATGATTGTCCTGTTACGTGCTCATTTTCTAAATCAAACTCTTTTCTCAATCTTAAAATTATAATCAGAAAACAGAAAAAGGGAGAATATTTTCTCTTGTTTTATTTGCTACCAAATGATTCGGCAGGAAAATTTTTGCAATTCAGTTAAAGAGCGAATGGGTAATCATTTTATAACTGTATATCTTTAAGAAAGATAAAATTAAAACTTAGTGCATAAGGCAACATATTTTGATACCAACATCCACTTCTCCTATAAACCCTTCCAACGTCTCAGTCCTAGATAAAAACTTGGATGACATAAATGTTCATCTAAAATCCATCACACAGCAAAGTATAGAATAGTATTAATGCAATTGCTTGCACTCAAATCACAGACGACTATAGAAAGGCCACATCCAGCCTCCATGTATAATAACATCATAAGATCTTTTTGTGGTTCTTACAAGCCACTAGCAGAAAGAAAAACAAAAGATAACAATTACCAAAAGTTTGGAGTTTTGGGATGACTCTTCAGACAACGCTTGCACCAACTGATCCTTCTCCAATGCCAACTGTATTTGAAGCATTTATATCTATATTTATGCCTTCTACAAGTAAATGCTAGAGCATTTGATTCAGCAGATACATGCTGTGGGAGGCAATTGATGACGAGAATCAACATCAAGAATTCTAAACTTTACCTCAGCAAGTAACGTGTTAATGTTTTGAATCATTCTTATTTGGTCAGAAGGAATGGCCATATTTTGAGCATCCATATTTTGAGCATCCAGGTTGACATTCATACTTTCATGTAAAATCAGAGAACTTGAAGCTCCATCTGTAGGCACAGGATTACCAAAATATTCTGGATCGGCAGATTCTGTGGAGGTATCGACATCTATGCAGTTAGTCAAGATAGTAACACATATCAGAACCAATGAAATTTGGTAGAAGGAACATGCCATTATCCATAATTTTTGCCTAGTATAAAATAGGATTATCTGAAAAGAGAAATGACTGGCACCAAATGCCGCAAGTAAAACCTTTCAACAGGCCACAGACACTCAAGAGTTATTGTCCATACATGATAAAGGTATAATATCCATCTATATGATAGTAGTGTTCCCTCTTCTAAGATATATTTTTTTATATAAAACAAGGTCAAAGCAGCCAAAAAGGAGTAAACAAATTGGAAAGAATGTCATACCAAGATCATCTGTGGAAGTCGATATATCTTTTTTGGCATTTGATACCTTATTGAAGTTGATGAAATTTTCACCAGATGAAGTTTTTCGCAATTTGGACTGCAATAGCTTCTTCTCTGAATGAACAAAGAATTTTAAAAAGTCATTTGCTGAAATTACTAGGATGTACGAATCAAAAACATCCCACTAGGTAACCTCAGAAATTTCGTCACATAACAAAATAAGAGACAACATTTAATATTTTGAATGTCCAAAATGCAGGTCTTCAATTTATTGACCCAGACAACGAACCATAGAATCCACTTTCTTCTGCCCGAAAATACTGATGGCTTAAGGGATTCTTCTGTTGGGTTTGAATAGGAATGAGTTTGTTTAGGATGTTGTGTATTGGGTTTTCTTATTATTACCATTTTTTTTTCTGAAAATTGAGAACAATAAATACAAACTAGGATGTGTCTGGTTTATTTAGAAATTAGAAGGCAAGTTGCATTTTATGTTATATCTTGTCTAATTAGAGTGGATTCTTATCATTGTTGACATTGCATTACAAGGAAAGACAAAGGTAAAAAAAATTGCAAGTGTTCTAAATTTGAATTTTAAAATGAAGACATGACAGGAATATATCCAAGATAATAGAGGGGTGAATGCTACGCATTTTGGAGATGACAGATAAATGAAGATACACACAGCCCTTATAATCCTGATCTATGCATTGATTCCACAAAACAAATATAAACCAAAAATAATAAAATAAGCCTACCTTCTTGCAAGGCATTAATGGTTGATTGCAGATCTTGACGATCTCTCTCAAGGCTTGAAATCTTTTTCCTGTAAAATTAAATCAGTGATGGCAATCTGAATATATCTCATTAGGTATTAACATTAAAAATCAATCTAAATTTAGTATTAACAGAAGCAGTTACAACATTGGTGATTTAACCCTAACTTTGAGGATCATACCATAGCAAATGACAACGAACAAACAAAATGTGAAAGCATACAAGTATATCATGAAACCAAACCCATTTTATTAAGCATGAGAGAAATGACAAATACCTGTAGGAAGAAATTTCAGATTGAGCATTCTCCAATTGCCTCTCCAATTTTAGCTCATTAGACCTCAAATGCAATGCCTACAAGTATCCACAAAGATGACCATAAAATAGACAAGCCATTGTAACAAGTTATAAACTTTAGCGAGAGGGAGATGCACATCACTATTAAAACTCACAAGATGTAGAAGTGCAAAGAAAAAAAACAAATGATAATTACAAGGAAAACATGGCCACCAACCCACAATTTACTTTTTATTTTCATTATATGCTGAAATATTGAAAGCAGACGAATGGTGACCTTGTATAAAGTCCATGACTATGTGCATTAGTACCAACAAATATTAGAAAACAAGAATTACATATTCATCATCTCCACAAAAGAGCAAGGGCCATCAAGAATCTGAAGATATAGTAGCAATCAGTCATTAGCAGCCCAGTGATGACAAACACCACTGGAAAGCTTGCAAACAACAATGATATATAAAATACCTTTCAAACACCAAATGTATAGTTTTCTAGTTGATAAATATGACTTCCATAGCCTAGTAGGTTGAATATTGGTGTAGTAGTATTATTTGAGGATAAAGACAATATGTATGCCTAGTTGTTTATCAAACAGTATCTATTTAGTCACAAATGCATTTAATTGGCACAAATTGACCGAACAATAATCAAATTATACATTCTTAATATTAGAAAAGGAATCACGTGGAAACTTAATGAAAAGTATAGAAAAAACAGCTATATACAACTTATTTGGTGGGTAAAAAGTTTACCAGTCCAAAACCATGTTCTCCGATACAAACAACCCACATTTACCATGATTGTAGATTGCAAGTATCTTTTCATAGAAAGTTCATGAGTTTTATCACATTGACATCATTCACCTACAATGCAGAAAAGATATGTTAATAGAAAAGATACCTTCTCTTCCAGTCCGATAACTTCAGAGGCCAAGAGCTTTGCTCGTTCATCAGCTGCATTACATTCCATCTGAGCATTAGCATATTCATTTTTTACAGCTTCAAGTTCCACCTACAAATATTGGAATATATATATATATATATAAGTGAGGCATGGTGATAGTTATCAGGAAGCGAACATTAAACTTGCTACAGGAAACTTACAATATTGACAATTAAGAAAAATAAACAAATCTACATGCAGATCTATATAAATGTTCCACGATGGCAAGGCAACACAACAAAAAGATGAGCACAGTAGACAGATAGGCATTGAATTATGGAACTAAGAAATTTTTTGGTAAACTGAATGTTGAATTCATAAAGTTGTTGCAATTTCAAACTTATATATTGAACAACTTTTTTTTACTTCTATTTAGTGTTTGGGCATATAACTTTTCATGGTGGGCTCTATTTTATCCATTAGAGTCCGCTTCAATTTATCAGAAGTTGATATATTTTTCATTTGGACTAAAGAAATTAAATATTGAATCATTAAATGATAACTGGAATCCCCATACAAATACGAAATGACCGTTGAAAACATCACCAGCCAGATATTACTGTAGAAAAATGAATAAAAACATGAAAATGATTAACTGAAAAGATAGCGCCTCATGGATCAATACTAACCAAGCGGGCATTGATTTCTTGCTCCAACTGTTCCAACTCAGATTTTAGTTGGTTGACAAAAGCTCCCTAAAGAAAAAGCAAGACAAGGATAAAGTAGGTACCATTTAAAATCAAAAGGTAGAAAGAATGATTGCATCCAAAACACCACTTACAAATATCATAAATAATAAATCATAATCTCAAAAACAACAATATCATAAATGCCTCTTTCGTTATGCAAAATGAATTTTTTATCCAACTAATTCCCAATTTACATATAATGAAATCCTTTACTCTTTACACATTCAGTAACATTATGCCCGGGATTCTAGTTTTGATATACTTGCCCTAAACAGAACATAGGACAGAACTACAAGAACAGGTTATATTTATGGCATCAAGAGACATCTTAAATGTTGAAAATCTAGTATGGAATTAATTGTTATATATTGATCACAAGCAAATGATTAACAACTGCCACATGGAATACTATATATGAGTGCGTGTCTATTTTTAACAAAGAAAAGTGTATCAATGTACAGGTAGATAAACACATAATATGTTCCAATCTTGCAAATATTAGTATAGATTATCTTGTCCTCCTGAACAATTTTCTGGAGTTGTGAGGGCAGATAAATGGACAATTGTATCACAAACTTACTTTTCATCAATAAATACATATCTGAATTGGAATACTTTCCCCCCAAATACCTTAATTAAGATAACCATGACAAACATCAGAAAAGCTTCCAACAACTTCCAACTAAGGCGTGAGTATACCCTATGAAGTTAGTAATATTCAACATTGCCTAGCATGTCACATCATATCCAACCTGTTGATTAAAACTTTCTGTTAGAGTCGAATTTTCAGAAGCCAAAGACTCTGCCAAAGTACGTGATGCTTCAAGAGCACGTTGCAATGAAAATTTCTCTTGTGTCAAATCTTCAATGTGCTGCAACAGAAGAAATGACATAGTTAAACACATAATAAGTGCAATTATCTCCATTAACAAAATGTCACAAATGTTTCCTCCATATTTTAGAGATACAGCAAGTGGCAACTGGCACCTCATTGTGAAATAAAAAAATGTTTTAACTTCATGAATCCCCTCACTCTATCCGTAGAAAGGGAATCAAGAAGCAATCCACATTAAAACCATATTAACCAAAAAGTAACTTTGCTCATTACATGAAATATCCCAACAATGGCTAATATTGATATGCCATGGCACTAGAGCTCATGCCATTCGTACTCTATGTTACATTGGCTTTATTAAGAAAATACTTAAACAATATGCAATAGTATAGATATTGTATAAATTATAAAAATAATGCAACAGTAACTTTAACAGAAGACTTACTACTTAACTCAGCATCACTTTCTCACACTTCTTAACAATTAAAAACTTACCAAAAGGTAAAAATCACATGCAGACTCATGTGCCTTAATACTCTTCTTAACACTATTAACAACCCATTTATAGTCTAATGATAGAAAAATAGCAAAAACACTACAATAGGGTCCTGATGCACTCATGTCCAAGATGACATTGTTGCTTCTCAAAGAAAGATCTTTGGCTACATGTAAAAAGAGAACGATTGGAACAACAATGGAGTACACACCTGCAGCTAATTGAACCTATTGTTGCCTTAAATCAAAGATTCAGGGCACAATTTTTACAATTTTTAGGCAAAATTTTCACCTGGCAAGGTTGGACTGAGAGCTTCAATGTGTTTTTCTACTTCTCTAATGAAAAATCGTTTCTAACTTAAAAATAGAATAAAAACAAATAAATAGTGCCCCATTGAGGTTTTCAATGCAAAATAAGTATTGGATATAATGTTTTTTAGGGGAGTAAAGTTTTTTTTACTGTAGAATGAATAATGTAACAAGGATGAAAAAACAAAAGGACACACACACACACACACCAAAAAGATAGTGGTTTAGCATCAATTATGTGCACTATCAAATTTAAAAGATTTGTAATATTAGATTTGTCATTTGTTGTTTGATTTGTGAACATAAGTTCAAAGGGTGATTTAAATTAATATCCTTTTACTGCATCATTTCTCTTACCCTTTCCAATATATGAACTAGTGATGAACCTAAACCTTATCATAGAACCACACAAGCTATTGAACTGGTCAAGTGATGAACAATAAATGTACTGCAACCAAATAAAATGCCTTAACAGGTGCAAGTGAACCAAACAAGCTCTTTCAAAACAGGAGGTAACCCAAACCTAGATATTCACATCATATCTCAACACAAGCAAGGGTAACTAACAGAAACAAATTATATGCTCCTTAGTTCCAAATAATCAACACAACCCAAAATACTCACACTTTTAGTGTCTCCAAAATCCAAATCAAAATCACCAGAAAATAGTAAAATAGAAAATAAAAAACTATGGCCTATAATAAGTTAACCAGATAAAGCTATATGGTTGGTTTACAACTTGTGTTGAGAATACTGTAAAATAAAATAATTTCCTGAATATAATTTCCCAGGAAAAGAAATGATTCAATGACCATCTATAGAGCCCTATAAAAGAAAGAAAATCTTGGTAATTTAGATTTAGACGCGTATTATGCAACCAAAATAGGAGGCCAGATTGAATTGACGACACAATATCTATAATGGGAAAAAAACAAAACAATTTTTGTAAGTAGAGATGCAGTAAAGAAACCTGTTCCAAAGCAGCAAAGTCTTCATTCTGCTTCTGTGAAAAGAAGTCATGTTTATTTTCGATTGTGTGATTAAAAGAGTCAACACCGTCACCAGAAGCAACAGAAGAGTTAGCAGATCTCTGAGAAACTGATGAACCCAAGCCATCCACTGGATAAACCTTGGTGTGTGAAATATCACTTTTTGCAGCTGCAAAAAGGGGAGGGGATGAAGAGACTGGGTCTTTCTGGATGTTAATAGAATCAAGAAATGATGGACGGGATCTCTTTCCAGCTGCAGGCACCGATGGTGGTGGATAATTTGATGAGCTTTGGGCATCTGAATCATAATCTGCCTGTCTATGGTCCCATGGCAATGGAAATGACTGATTCATGTTCTGAGTATGACCACTTGCACCAGAAGCTCTATTGTCCCCCATATCTAGAAATGCAGAGATTAAGATATATATATATATATATGTCATAATGAAGGGTCTGTACTTTCGAGGTATAATGAAAAATAAATCATCCAAAAACGATGCATCATTGATAACGTAGACTCGAAACAAAAAATAAACACTATTCGAAAAGGGGCAGGAGGCAGGGATAATGGAAATAAATGCATAAAACTGCATATAGTGATTAAACACAAACTTTACCTGGGTAACTCGAGGACATTAGATTATTAGCATAGCTATTACTACTGATCTTATCTGGCAGGAAATTAGTGGCAGCATTCTGGACCGAAATGGCTTTACTGAACGCAGTAGCGTCACCAGCTCTAGTGTGTGAAAGATCCTTCTCGCGGTCATAAGTGTTATTTGACTGGTGAGTATCTAACAGAGGGTAACTAGTGTAACCAGAAGGATGGATTTCCCCACTAGAAGATACATTATGATCCAAAAAGTGATCATTTCCAACCCTGGAAGAAACTTGAGCTGATGATCCAGCATCATCTTTCGTGCTTCCAAATCTATCCAAACCCACAGAAGCGTCATCTCCCTTGTAGTGTTCATTCTTCAAGTGTGGATGCTCTTGCACGGATGAATTAGTGTCAAGATTATTTGCAGAGACTGAAGTTCTAGCATTATCATTAGGAGACCTAAATTCACTTGCAATGGATAAGCCATATTCCTTATCAGCAAGCTTCGGAACAGTTTTACTTTCAACATGATCCTCCACATGTGCATCTGAAGTACCTGCAGAGTTATAATTGGTATTTAATGCACGCTCAGTTTCTGATGGTTGTGTTTCGAAATGAGAGACATCTGAAGCTCGCTGTAAATTAGAGGTGGAAGACTTTTTTGCTTTCTCTGCAGCTTTCTTTTTGCGGAATTCCTCTAACTGCAATTATTGGATTAACATAACAATGAGAGTACAAAGTAACAACATATGACTCAACCCACAAAGTAAATGTAAGAAAAAATAAACAAATCAACCAACAGTTAACAGAAGCAAAACCAACGCAGCCACCAAGTTAAAGTCACACACGCATAGCTGCGTGAACTTGCAAGTAGCTATCATGTCACATCGGGTCAGAAATTTTTTTTGAACTTTAAAGATAACAAAAAATTAATTACATAAAATATTACCCCGCTAATGGATCTTCAAATAGATCTAGATATAAATCGACAAAACTGAACTTTATAACTATCATCCGATCCACATTGCTTTAGAGTTTCTTCCTTAAAGATTCACACACACAAACAGAAAACCCTAACACGCTATGGAAAAACCAAGCAACCAACACATATAAAATGAATCATGTAAATGAACTAAAAATTACCTAAACAAAAACCAAAAACCCCACCACTCAAGGAAATAATAAAAATAATAATAACAACTACCTTCTTTTTCCCTGCTTCCAAATGCTCTTGCTTCCGCAATACCTGTGCCGACGCCATTCAAAACTTCTCAAAGCGAGATTCTCACAAAATTATTGGATTCCCATAGCTGAAACCTCAATAATCCTCCAGGAACAATCAGATCATTGCATTCACGCTTCCCAGAAACAATTACCCAATCCCTATTCGTTTGCAAATATAAATATATCTATAAATCCAACAAAAAACTGGAGCAAAAAATTCGAAACAATAAAATCCGGAACTACAAAACGAAAATTCGTTCAATATCCGGCAAAAATCAAATGGATACGCGGCCGATCTGATGGGAGAGGAGAGAAAATTAGGGAGAGAATCTATGTATGTATGTTGATGTTGTCTTCTAGAGCGGTATTTGGTTTAAATCTGTCTCCCCAACTCCATATCCCCCTTTCTCCTATCGTCCGTCGTTCGCCTTAGGTAAAATAAAGATTTGCCGTTACGAAGCGTTTGTGAAAACAAAACAATAGCTCTCTCTACAGATGAAAGGAGAAGTCGTGTTTATGATTGACGCATTGTCGCAAAAGGGGATAGTTGCAAACGCGACTTAGGTATGGTATGGATGGTAGGGGGTAGAATCGTGATTTCCATGTACGTATATTCGAACTTATGACGTAGGTGAACTGACGGTAGATGTGACACGCGTGGAGTGGTGATGACGTGTAATTTTAATAAATTTATTTGTAATGATCATGCCCTTATTTTATGAATTGACAACTTGAATTATTAATAAAATTCTTTTCGTCCCTCAAAATGATACACTTATATTTTTTAATATTAATATTATAGTATATATGTAATATAAATTAATAAAAAAAATTTCAAGATATTTAATATTATGTAATATAAATATAATGATATTTGTGTAATATATTACTCATTTTATTCTACATTTTTCGTTCAGTATTTCTATTTCGTTTGTCCCAGATTATTTTTTTTATTCTAAAAAATATAATTATACATTTTAATCATATTTTAAATTTCATAATTCATAATTTTTAAAATCTTAATTATATTATTTACTTATCTTGATTTTAATTTATAATTAGTTTTATTATACAACAATTTTTTTACTAATAGACTTCTTAATTACTTTGCAAACCAAACACAAAAGGTGATACTGAAGAAGTATAAGTTAAGAATATTTATAATAATAGATATATAGTACAATTATCAAATAAAAGAATAACAATCTTATTTCAAAACAAGACAATTAGAAAATGACAATCTTTTTATGAGAAGGGAGGAATATCTTTTGTGGCATGTTATCATAATTTATAAATAACTCTATCCATTCATAATTTTATTATTTTTACTTTAAAGAATAATAATCAATTTGTTATTATTTTTATTTATCCTGTTTTTTTATTATTATTCTTTAAAAAAATAATATTATTAAGAATTGAGGTTGATGCGAATAAAGTGAGAACTGTCTAGGAACTCAACTCCTCACACAACATAAAAAAGGAATAAAGTGAGAATTGTCTAGGAACTCAACTCCTCACACAACATCAAAGAGCTCCAAAGCTTCACGGGAAAAGTTGATTTCCTATTTTGATTAATTGAAAATGATACTGAAAAAATGAATGCATTCTCGATGCTGTTGCAAAGAAATATGGAGTGGTTCAAGTGTGGAGTGAAGCATAAGAAAGCTTTCGATTAAATCAAGTGTACACTAGCTTCACCACCGTGTTGACCCTGCTAGCTGATGTGAGGCTACTGATGAAGTTATATATTACAGCGACCGATGATATGATTTGAGTGTTTATTGGTGCAAAACGACACTGGGGATAAGAGCTATCATCTAATACCTTAGCAAGACCCTTAATGAAGCTGAAATAAGGTATTATTAGGTCAAAAACTATGTTTTTTTGTTGTACTATGCTTGCACAAAATTTAAGTACTATGTTTTCCATGTGAACCAAAGTTTAGTAAGTTCAATTTATTGCATTACCTTTTGAATTGTCCAGATTGCATTGTTACTTGGTCAAGTGGATTTTGAAGCTAGCTTGGTTAGATCACTTAAGAGCCTTTAAAGGCCCTAAAAGTCTAAGCAATCATTAATTGTTTTGTTGAACATCGAGGGATGATCCAAATTTCGGATGCTTCGCTTGGCTACATCATATTGGAGCCTTGGTGAGTAATTTTCGATGGCTCAAACATTACTGAGGCTGCCGGTGTAGAAATCATCATTACTAGCCCTAGTGGTGAAGTGTGATGATTCTCACATCTACTGCCCTAGGATTGTACAAACAACCAAACTGAATTTAAGATATTGTTGCTGACTTTTTCTGATTTCAAATATCGAATGACATCACAAATATCCTGATCTAGGATGACTTGTAGCTCATTGTTTGCAAAACCTTGAGCAATTTTAAGGGAACTATATGTCCAAGGTCACCACTATGAAGTCTAAGACTTAATGCAATAATTTCAACAGGCCATCTTGGAAGATATTTCTTAAGAGAAGAATATCAATGCAAATGACCTCATACAGTGGGCCTCCAGATTTAGGATGAAGAGACCCATCAGTCGCCTAGGTTGTCTTCAACTCAATAGCTATGTGGATTGAAGAAAAGAGTGTTGAAGCGATCCTGGACCTAAACCGAACTAGTTCTAAGTCGATGAGGGAAAGACTCCTTAAATACACCTTTATAAATAAGGATTTGTATCATACGGCTTTTCAACAAGACATTGGTGTGTTGTTTGGATCCTGAGGATGCAAAAATTTCACAACCAAGGCTCACAAGGGAATTAGTAGAACTTATAGGTTTAGATCAACCATACGATGGACGATTTTTAGATACAACTACTTTTGGCTGACCATATCATGTGACTGCATTTCTTATGTAAAGGGGGGGTGAGGCATGCCAAGAACATGGCCCATTGAGATGAGTCCCAAACAAAAAGATGCACTTGATAATTAAACCGTGGCCTTTTCGTGGGTAGGTGATGAATGTTATTGGTAAGATATATCGCTCTTCATCCAAAGGATACATGTTCATCTTGGTGGCCACTGAATATTTCATGAAATAGGTCAAGGCCATATTATTGATGTAGGTTTGGTAGGCCAAGTCATAAAATTCATAAAATCCAATATAACCCACCATTTCAGGATACCTCAAATGATCATAAAAAATCACAGGATTGTGTTCATGAGCATATAAGTGAAGGCGTTTGCGGCCCAATATGACATTCGAGTTATTCACTCGTTGCTATATTATTCCTAAGCTAATAAGCATCCAAGGCAAGCAACAAGTGTTGATTTCCATGATAAAGAAATTATTGGAGGAGAACCCGAGAGGTTGGCATGACACCTTTGGGGAACTATTGTGGGCGTATCGAAATGCAAAGTCTTTAGTCACTATATGTATACTATTTTCGCTAACTTATAGGCAAAATGGGTGTTATTGGTCGAAATCACCATGCCGTTCTTGCGAATCCTGAAATAGGCAAGTTTTCCCAGAGAAGATAACAATCATTTGTTGTTGTAGAAGTTGGAAATAGTCCCCAAAGAGCATTTGCATGCATTAGAACATATATGTTGAAACAAATGGAAAGCCGAGAAGGCTTGTAATAAGTCTGCACGCCTATTGATGTTTAATAGTCAACTAATTTGGAAGGACCATCAACTAACCTATAATGCCCCGATTTCAAAGTGTATAAAATAATATTATTATATCAAATAAATATTTTGATAAATTTTAATGAAAATAAAATATTAATATTACATCTAATAAAATTATTGTTATTTGTAATATCAAATATAATTAAAAGAATTTTTTTTAATAAATAAATAAATATTGATTGAAAGTAAATATTCAAATATTGTAATTATATATTATTATATAAATTGAATAATTATGATATTATAGTATATTAAATCAATGATATATGAAAATAATATAATAAGAATTAATTTATTATATCGTGAAGATAATGATTATGGAATCTATAATAAGGATGATGATTATTATTAATAATAATAACAATAATATAATTATATATATATATATATAAGTAAAGAGAAAAACAAACCGACCAGAAGTAAGGCGGGAGAAGAATGAGAAAATGAGGAAGGAAATGGACGAAGGAAAAGAAGAAAAAGAGAAAAAAAAAATATTCGGCTGTTCGATTTTGATTAGAATTTTGTTAATTCATTCCTAAAGATAAGTAGAATTCAAGTACAATTTTGAATACAATTTATATTATTCTTTTTATAAATCATATATTTGAAAATCATCGAAAAATTGATAATTGAATGTTTAACTAGCAATTCTCGATAATTTTTAAGTTACTACGGTAGATATAACTCTAAATTTATATTTGGATAATTTCACCTCAATTCGAATTCAAGTTATTTCGACAGTATTTTAGACCTGTCTGTTTATTCATAACTTTAAATATTTTTTATATTTAAAATTTTTTGGTCAAAATAATATTATGTATAAGACTTTTATGATTATAATAGAGTATTCTATCATAAGAAAAAAGTTTGAAAACCAACGGATTAATTTTAAAAATTTATCATTTGAGCAAGCTAGTAGCTCATTTGAATAATCAGGTAGCTCATCTTGTATATTAACAAATTGTATTTGTAAGCTCATAACTTGATTTGATTTTATTTAATTTGCATAAAAGTGAATATATTGGAAAATTTATAGCTGATACTATATGATAATGAAACAATTAATCTAACTCGGAAAAGAATAAAACATGTATTTTGCTTCCAAAGGTTGTTAGATGTCAGTTGCTACAATGTACTAATAGTATCATATTGATTGAGCTCGTTAACTTGATATGATTACCGAAACTGATAAGTAATTCTATGGAAATAATATTAACTTAATCACTTCTTAACTATTGTGTTTGAAGTATAATTTTGATAGCTTAATAATTGTATTGTTGTGATTTAATATCAAATACAAAACATACTGTACCTCTTTGTTAGGGGCTCGACAGTAATGTAATCTACGTGATTCTTCATTGCTCTTATTTTTGGATCTTATATCTTATATATATAGTATGATTGCTATGTGTGAACTTTTTGGATATTACTGTTATTTGCAATGTACGGTAGTGCTTGGCGATGACACCCTTTTAGTACGTATATTGATGTACCGTTACATTTTGACATAACAGTAGTTAGTCGGACAACCGATTGACCTGTGTCGCAGGGTCTTTCGGGTATTATATTTGATTATTTATAGCTCTATCTAATCATTATTGGGCAGGTTTTTATCCACTCATTAGATTGATCACTAGTGGGGTCTACCGGTAATTTAGAATCATTGGCCAACTCCAAACGCGATCCCGAATGGGCACGCGAGGAGGAGTAGAGTTTTCGGGTTCCTTTTGGGTAATTCTTGGGGTGTATGAATTCCACTACTATACACGGGATAGATCTCTGAATAGGTCTATCTTCGCTACCACATGCTCTGCATAGTTCTATGGTTAATGACGATA